TGTATTCGAATATGCATCGCTTCAAGTGGAACTAAAAACTGATAAGTGGAAAGACTTAAACATCTCATCATGGCCAAGGGAAGAGTGTATTAAGAGCAAACTACAAATAGACTGGTATACCTCCTAACTCAAAGGCTCAAAGTAATTGACTTCCGAAGACTCTGAATTTAGGCTTATTTTGACAGCAATCTGTAGGAGGAATTAGTTTAAATAAGCATGGAGTAGTTTAACATTCTTGAAAGCAAGTTGGGCACACATCTTACTGAATTTAGGCTCATCTTGAAAGCAAAGTTTTGATAGTTTTTTAGCTTTGACATACAATTTTGACAGTTTGGGGACAGATTTAGTCACTGAACCAATTATGACTGGCACATCATTAAAATTTAGTCTCAATATCTGAATTTCTATCTCTGGACCATGTGGCGGCAAGCAAGCAAACTAAATTGGTAAACAGTACAATGTACAACTGATTCAGCACTAAAGGCCGACAGTGATAGCACCAAGCGAAATTCAGTAATTATAACCAGCAAATCATTAAACTTAGTCTGAATATCTCAATTCTATCTCTGGACCATGTGGCTGTAGGCAAGCAAATTAAATTAGTAAACAGTGCAATGCCTATCTCATTGAACACTAGGGCCTGAGAGCAACTAGATTCAGTCAAGCATGCAAGTGAATCTAGAGTAGCAGAAAAATCAGGGAACCAGACCTATGAAATCAAAACGAGAGAGAGGTAGAGGGAGGCTTGACCTTGGATTGCTGCTGCCCCATGGCTGGGCATCATCCCGTGAGAGAAGCCTCACTCCTCCTCTCCCTACATCAAGTTGGTGCAGGTGCGTGGTGAGTTGGAGGCTGGCTGCATCCATTGGCGTGTTGAGGTCTCCTGCAGCCCAGCACGAACACCAACAGAGCAACAAGGTGTGAGGAACCCGCATACACAGCTGTAGAATTGAATCAAATAGAGAGGGGAGGCGGGAGGTGGTGCACTTTTTCCTTGAGTGAGTGCTGCTAAAAATCCATGGCTGGGTGTCTTCATCCTCCTCTCTGTGCATAGAGTCCAGTTGCTGCGTGCGTGAGGCAGGAACGTACATCTCATCTCAGGGAAGGGAAGAAGAAGAAATCCAAGAGGAGAGGAGAAGGGGGCGGACTTGTATGTCGTCGGGGTAGCCTTCCTGTCCCGGAGCCACAGGGTAAGGTCGCCGGAGCCAGACGGAGCAGATCCAGCGCCGGCGCACGCGGATCCAGCGCTTCCTCGCCCAGCAGCACCATCAGCGGCAGATAAAAATTCAACCTTTGACCTACGGGGTGTGAGAGAGCGGCCACACTGGTGACGAAGGGGAGGGCAGCCTGACCAGGGAGCGCCGACGGTGGTGACGAAGGGGAGGGGGCGGCCTGACCAAGGAGCGCTGGCTATGGTGGAGAGAATGGGGAACGGAGGAGATTGTGAGGGAGTGGTGGGGAACTATCTAGAGAAGAATCTGAGGCGGCAGTGGAGATGATGACTGACGGTTTTTTTAGAAATCTGACGTTTTTTCTTAATACTACTATGTAGAGTACTGTACTAGTAGTGACGGGAGAGATTGTGATTGATCACAGCCTTGTCCGAACCAAAAAAGAAGTTGTCTTATTTTTATCGGTCGTGTCCGATTCACCTCACATTATATTAATAAAAATCCATTATTTTTATAGTCATAATCATTTGATGTTTTAATAGGTTTCCTTTATAAATAATATCTAAAAAAGTTGAAAAAAATACTAGTAAAAAACACATTCGATATATCTGAATTTTATGTGAGGAAATGAGTATGAGTAAATAAATTCAAACACTAAGCAAAAGCTTTGATGTTTTCTTGATTATTAAGAAGATTGTCCAGTTAATAATGGAAAACCAAACACACACTAGGTTGGGGGCTGTCAGAGTGGGCGTAGGTGATGGGGAGCAAGGCGGCCATGGGGAGGAAGAGGGCGGTGACGACAGAGTGACACGACGGCGACGGAGACAGGGCAGTGACGACGAAGCGACACATCGGCGACGGGGAGAGGGCGGTGGGTAGTGGAGCGGTGGGGAACAAGAGCGAGTGGGGACTGGGGAGTGACTGGTCTGCGTGAGCGCGGGGGTAATTTCGAAACACTGGTAAAATGCGTAACGTGACGAAATGTGTACTAGGAATCGTCTAGCGACCTATATTTTGGAACAGATAGAGTACTACTAATATATAAGCCAGTGACCCATTGTAAGTGAGTGTGGCATTTTTTCCAAACAAAATAAAAATATCTTTAAATTTCAAAGGGCATGTCCGGTTCACATGCTGCATGGGTGAGATTTTTGTTTTCATCGCTGCTTGTTACGGTCATGATCATTGGATGATTTCAAAAAATAATATGAATCCCTATAAAAATGATGACAATTTATTGAGTATATTTAAGTTTTGTAATCATGCAGGTCATCTTGTGGTCTGTGGATGATAAATTTTATGGAGTACTTCACAGGAGTAATTTTGTCTGATATTCCTACACAGGTACATTTCACTGTGTATCATTATACTTATTCTATGTTATATCACTATTTAACTCTTATTACTACTTTAATAGAAACATATGACAGATTTTAGAACAAAACTAGCTGTCATTTTAGTGGACTCGGAATTGAATGATGATAATATAAGAAATCGAGACATTGAAGATGACGAAAACAACATAGATCCCACGGAATGTATGATTCTGGATAGACCTCCTGAGAATTTCAAAACATCAAATACATCAGGAGAAGTCAAGCTCATCTCGCGGTCATTTATCCTTTCACCGTTTGTCAATCCAACAAATGATGATTTAATAGATGAACTTTGCTTGTTCATCGGTATGGTTGATGATGTCGCTCTACTAGAGTAAGCTATATTTTTTAGTTCATTTTGTATTCCAATAAATTACTTTGATGTCAATATAATGACAGAATTTCGATTTTACAGGAGCGAATGGGTGAAAAGCTCTGATCCGTACCCTATTAGCTTAAATTTGAGACAAATAAAAAACATATTGAACAATGATGAATACATGGATATCCATTGCTTTAATATGGATGTGCGGATATTAGCGCGCCACGAAAACAACATACTGAACTTTTGTGTAAGTTACTATAATCATGTATTACATTTTTTTCTCATTGCACTAATATTTTCTCATTCTTATTTTAGTCGATGTTCCACTATGCACAAAGTCATCGTGAAAATATGGAAATTGCTACATTGAGACGGTTGTTTCATAGCTGGCCTGACAGTAATGATTACCATATCTCACAATGTGATGAGGTAAGATTTAAATTTTTCATCTTTAACAGTGCTTTATTTGGTCTTAATTAATATCACATGTATTTCTAAACTATTTCATCATTGCAGATTTTATTGCCTTGGTGTATGTTTGGGCTATTTCTATTGTTTGTGTTGGATCAAAATAAAAAGGTTGTCTCAATTTTTGATCCGTTACCAATACCTACTTTGGGGAATAACGTACTTCAAATTGTGGCCGACAACCTAAACCTCGCGCTTGAAGTTGCAAACCCTGCATTCAAGGATGATATCTCTAAATGGGAATCCTTAGTTTCTGTTGCTCCAACAAACTCACACTGGTGTGAATCTTTTAAACGCATTACAATATTAATTGATTCATTCAACACACATTATGTGTTTATTTCATACATGTAGTGCCCTATCCGGTTATTTGGTTTTTAATTACATGCACTCATTGTGCGATGGAAAACTATATTTTCCCATACCCAAGGTGAGTGTTTACACCATGCTTATTTCTATACACATTGCGCATGCAACTTGTTATAACAATGTTGTATAATGCATATGTAGGATGGGTTTCAGCCGAGGAAGCAATTTTTGGTGCATATTTTAAAGTACGAAGAGAATGAAGCTCAAAACAACATCCCATACATTGAACGAAGCATCATTGATCGCATCCATAGATGGACCTTTATTGCTTCAAAAGATGTACCTTCAAGACATGCTTAGTTGCGGGTTTTAAAATATATTTTTTGTAACAATTATAATACATTTATTATGTGATATTGAATTTTAGGCGGAGACATGTTTCCGGATCATGTGTTACACACGCGCTCATATGGTTGTGCATAAGAAACACTTAAATGGCTCGGTAAAAGAACTCACTAAATAAAAAATTAAATCCAGAATAGATGTTTTTACTATAGACTATGATACATGTGTTGGATCAGAAATATGTCACACTTTTTGAAAATACAATTTGAGTGACATGATAACATTTTGTAGCAATCTGATACCATGTTAACTTGTTTTGTTTGAGACGTGCGTTGCACGTGCATGCTTACTAGTGTGAACAAAGGACCGTTACTGTTCTTTACAGTATTGTGTGGGTGTACAGAACCAAGTTTCGGTGGAACACAAATATTTACTTAAACATGAGGTAAAACTTTATCAGACGACTGCACATGATATTTGCCAATGCATTGGACCTCATATAATATAGCATGTTTAAGTAGATTGGTATTTCAGGGTTGTGTTTTAGAAATTGGTGGTAGTTTGAGGTTGTAAATGAACTTCCCTCTAGATATTTTGGGCAAAAACAACCTCAAAGGGTGGTGATTTTTCTGTAAATTTCTCGAGAAAAATGATATAACAGAAAAGAAAAGTATGAGAAGAGAGATTTGTTTGCGCTAGTCCCAAACTCGAGATAGGTTTTTATACTCCGGTGTGCTCCTTTTCAGTGTACACTGCACTAGTCCGTTACAGTGTGCTGTCGGTACACTGTAAAGTGCCCTAATTAAATTTAGATTAGTGCCGATACTTTAGATTTGATTTGGTGACGCACCTCCCAAAAACTCATCCGACGACCGCAGGGACGCATGGAGCCGTGTTTCCATGGTTCCACCGAAGATTCCACCACTCTTTCTACATAGTATATAGATCCTGTACGCCGCCGTCGTCAGATCACGCACCACGGCAGTAGTGGCCCAGCGACCAATGCTGCGACGGGACGTCGAGGCAGGCAGTGAAACCGTAGCGGTGCCACCGAGGAAGACGCGGCAGCGCTCGGCCGGCTCGGTCGCGGGCCACTGGCTGCGCCACGCCGAGGCGGCGGCGCCGGCGTGCATCAGGCGTCCGATGAAAGGGCTCGACCGCAGGCCCAGGCGGTGGGGATGCGCGGCCAACGCCGTGCTCCTGGCCTTCATCATCACCGTGCCGTCAATGGTCGTCTTCTTCGGCGCGCGCACCAGCGCGCCGGCGGTGTGGATCAACGCCGCCAACGCCTTACGCCTAGGTAGGCTGCTAGCTAGCTCCCCTGTCCTGTGAGAGGCCATGTCCAATCAGGAGGACATTAGTCAGAGCTAAATAATTACTGACGATTTCATTTGTTGTGTCTGGCAATGGCAGGATCAGCACCAGCGCGTGACAGGCTTCTCGGCGGCCTCCTGGCCGACGGCGTCGACGAGAGATCTTGCCACAGCAGGCACCAATCGGCCATGTACCGCCGGAGAGCCGGCAGGCAGCCCTCCCCGTACCTCGTCTCCAAGCTGCGGCAGCACGAGGCCCTGCAAAGACGCTGCGGCCCGGGCACCGCGGCCTACAGCCACGCCCAGGAGCAGCTCAGGTCGGGGAAGAGCCACGCCAGCGTCGGGTCACCGGAGTGCAAGTACCTGGTCTCCATATCGTACCGTGGCCTCGGCAACCGGATCCTGGCCACGGCGTCGGCGTTCCTCTATGCGGTGCTCACCGACCGCGTCCTCCTCGTCGACCCCAGCAACGAGATGGGCGAGCTGTTCTGCGAGCCATTCCCCGGCACGACGTGGTTGCTGCCGCCGGACTTCCCGCTGACGAGCTACACCAACTTCAGCATCCAGACGGCCGAGAGCCACGCGAACATGGTGAAGAACAAGGTGATCAGCACCGTCGACGTCGCGCAGGGGCTACCGGCGTTCGCGTACATTCACCTCGACCACGACGCCACTGGGGAAGACAAGCAATTCTACTGCGACGAGGACCAGAGGGTTCTCCGGGACATCCAGTGGTTGGTGATGAGGACGGACAGCTACATCGTGCCGGGGCTGTTCCTGGTCATGGCCTTCCAGGAGGAGCTCGACATGCTCTTCCCGGAGCCGGACACCGTGTTCCACCACCTCGGCCGCTACCTGTTCCACCCCAGCAACCACGTCTGGGGCCTCGTCACGCGCTACCACGACGCCTACCTCGCGGCGGCGCACCAGCGGGTCGGCATCCAGGTGCGCGTCTTCGGCAGTGCCCCGAACTCGCCGGAGCTCCTGGAGCAGATCACCACGTGCGCGCAGAAGGAGGGTCTGCTTCCGGAGCTGCTCACCGCGGGAGCGCCCGCCGCCACCACGTCGCCGCCTTTCCGGAGGAGGTCCAAGGCCGTCCTCGTGACCTCCCTGAAGGCCTGGTACTACGACAAGCTCAAGAGCATGTACTGGGAGCATGCGACCGTGACCGGCGAGGCGGTGGGCGTGCACCAGCCAAGCCACGAGGAGTACCAGCACTTCGGCGCCAGGTCGCACGACACCAAGGCGTGGGCGGAGATATATCTGCTGAGCCTCACCGACGTGCTGGTCACCAGCGGCGGGTCGACGTTCGGGTACGTGGCGCAGGGCCTCAGCGGCCTCACGCCGTGGGTGATGTTCAAGCCGGACAACGGCTCTGTGGTGCCCAACCCGCCCTGCGGCCGGGACGTGTCCATGGAGCCGTGCTTCCACGCGCCGCCGTTCTACGACTGCAGGATCAAGCAGGGGGCGGACACCGGCAAGATCGTGCCGCAGGTGCAGCATTGCATAGACGTGGCCTGGGGCTTAAAGGTTGTTCCTCCTAATACATAACATGGTCACACTTTGTATACTTTTGCCGGCAACCATTCCATCGAGCGAAACCTGGTGGCGTGTGCGGCAACTCTATAATTTTATAAAGGGTTCAAGATTTCACTACTTATGTTTGCTTAAACCTCCTTGCTAGGTCTACTGACAAATTGAGTAATATTAGTAGTACACCGTGCGTTGCTACGGGCTACAATGCATACAAATAAATCAAACAAATGGTTATATCCAAGGTCAAATCTTATTCCTCGTACATCCGAGCATGTTAGGACATTAAGCAAGCTCCACAAAATTTAAC